TTTTCTGAGTCTATTGAGATGATCATGTGGTTTTTGTTTTTAGTTCTGTTCATGTGATGAATTATATTTATTGATTTACATATGTTGAACCAACCTTGCATCCCAGAGATAAAGCCTACTGGATCATGGTGGATTAACTTTTTGATACACTGCTAGATTTGGTTTACTAGTATTTTGTTGAGGATTTTTATGTCTGTGTTCATCAGGCATATTGTCATGAAGTTTTCTTTTTTCACTGTATCTCTGACAGCTTTTGGTATCAGAATGATGCTAGCCTTATAGAATGAGTTATGGAGGAGTCCCTTCTCAGTTTTTTGGAATAGTTTCAGTAGGATTGTTACCAGGTATTCTCTATATGTCTGATAGGATACAGCCATGAATCTGTCTCATCTAGGGCATTTTCTGGTTGATAGATATTTTTATTCCTGATTCAGTTTTGGAACTTGTTATTGGTCTGTTCAGGATAAATATTTCTTTGTTGTTCAATCTTGAGAAGTGTATATTTTTAGTAATTTACTCATTTTTTCCTTTTTTCTTTTTTTTGAGACAGAGTCTCACTCTGTCGCCCGGCGCTAGGCTGGAGTGCGGTGGCACAATCTCGGCTCACTGCAACCTCTGCCTCCTAGGTTCAAGAAATTCTCCTGCCTCAGCCTCCTGAGTAACTGAGACTACCAGCACGCACCACCACACCCAGCTAATTTTTTGTACTTTTAGTACAGACAGGGTTTCACCATGTTGGTCAGGATCATCTCGATCTCTTGACCTCATGATTCACCCGCCTTGGCCTCCCAATGTGCTTGGATTACAGGCTTGAGCCACCGCGCCTGGCCTTTACTCATTTTTTCTAAATTTTCTAGTTTGTGCGCATAAAGGTATTTATAATAGTATTTTAGAGTTCTTGTATTTCTGTGGGATTTGTAATGTCCCCTTTATCATTTCTGATTATGCTTATTTGGATCTTCTCGTTTTAGTAATCTAGTTAGTGGTTTATCAATCTTGTTTATTTTTTGAAAGAACAAAATTTTGATTTCACTGATCTTTTGTACAGATTTCATATCTGAGTTTCCTTCAGTTCTGCTCTGATTTTAGTTTTCTTTTCTTCTGCTAGCTTTGGGGTTGGTTTACTCCTGTTTTCCTAGTTCCTCTAGGTGTGAGATTAGGTTGTTAATTTGAGATCTTTTTAACTTCTTGATGTAGGCATTTAGAACTCTAAACTTTTATCTGAAAACTGCTTTAGCTGTGTCCCAGAGATTCGGGACTGTTGACTCTTTGTTTTCATTGGTTTCAAAGAATTTTAAAATCTCTACCTTAATTTCATTCTTTTCCTGAAAGTCATTTAGGAGCAAGTTTGTTTAATTTCCAGGTAATTGTATGATTTTGAGAGATCTTTTTAGTATTGATTTCTATTTTTATTGTTCTGTGGTCTGAGAGTGTGATTAGTATGATTTGTTTTTAAGTTTGTTGAGAACTGCTTTATGGACGAGGATGCGGTTGATCTTAGAGTACGTGCCATTTGCAAATGAGAAGAATGCATATTCTGTTGTTGGATATTCTGCTGATGTCTGTTAGGACTGTTTGGTTAAGTATTGAGTTTAGGTTTCTAATATCTTTGTTAGTTTTCTGCTTCAATGATCTAATACTGTCAGTGGAGTGTTGAAGTCTCCCACTATTATTGTGTGGTTATCTAAGCTTCTTTATGGGTCTCTAAGAACTTTTTTATGAGTCTAGGATCTCCAATGTTAGGTGTGTATGTATTACGGAGAGTTAAGTCTTCTTGTTAAATGGAAACTTTTATCATTATGTAATACCCTTCTTTGTCTCTTTTGATCATTGCTGATCTAAAATCTGTATTGTCTGAAATAAGAATTGCAACCCTTCTAATTTTTTGTTTTCTGTTTGCTTGATTGATCTTTCTCTATCCCTTTACTTTCAACCTGTATATATAATTTAAGTGTAATGATTTTCTTGAATATAGCATATCATTGGGTTTTTTTCTTTATCCAACTTGCCACTCTGTATCTTTTATGTTAGACGCTTAGCCCATTTATGTTCAAGGTCAATATTGATATGTGAGGATTTGATCCTGCCATGTTGTTAGCTAGTTGCTATATAGACTTGATTGTATAGTTGCTTTATAGTACCAGTGGAATGTGTATTAAGTGTGTTTTAGTAGTGGCAGGTCTTCCATTTTCATGTTTAGTGCTCCCTTTAGGACCTCTGATAAGTATATCTGGTGGTAATGAATTCCCTTAGCATTTGCTTGTCTGAAAATGATTTTATTTCTCCTTCACTTAATGAAGCTTTGTTTGGTTGGATATGAAATTCTTGGTTGAAGTTTCTTTTCTTTAAAGTTGCTGAATATAGGCCCCCAATGTCTTTTGACTTGTAAAGTTTCTGCTGAAAAGTTCACTTTTGGCCTGATGGGATTCCCTTTGTACTTAACCTGCCCCTTCTCTGTAGCTGCCTTTAAAATTTCTTTTCTTTGCATTGACTTTAGAGAATCTGATGACTAGATGTCTTTTCTGGTATATCTTAGAGATTCTCTGAATCTCCTGAATGTGCATGTTTACCTGTGTATTGAGGTTGGGAAAATTTTTGTGGATAATTTCTTCAAATACGTTTTTCAAGTTGCTTGCTCTCTATTTCTTTCAGAAATGCCAGTGAGTCATAGGTTTGAACTCCTTACATAATCCCATATTTCTTGGAGTTTTTTTTTTTTTTTTTTTTTTTTTAAAAAATTTTTTATTTTTTTTTTCTCCCTGCATTGATTCAAAGGAACAGTCTTTGAGTTTTGAGATTCTTTTCTCATCTTGGCCTATTTTGTTCTTAATGCCTCCAATTGCATTATGAAATTTCTGTAACATAGTTTAATTTCCAGAAGTTCAATTATTTTTTTTCTTAAAATGGCTATGTCATCTTCTAGCTCTTGGATCATTTTACTAGTTTCCTTGGATTAGGTTTCAACCTTCTTATGTATCTCATTGGGCTTCCTTGCCATCCAGTTTCTGATTCTGTGTCTATCATTTCAGCCATTTCAATCTGATTAAGAACCATTTCTGGGGAGTTATTGATGTAGTTTGTGGAGATAAGAAGACACTCTGGCTTTCAGAGTTGCCAGAAATTTTGTACTCATTCTTTCTCATCTGTGTCCACTGATTTTCCTTTAATCTTTGAAGTTACTGTCCTTTGGATGAAGCTATTTGCTTTTATATTCTTTGATGTTCTTAATGGTTTGAAAGTAGTATAAGCTGTGTTTAGTTGCTTGACTTCATTTCAGGATGCTTTCAGGGGGCCAAGGCTCAGCTTAGCACTCCTGAGCTTCATGCCAATGCCTGGGGGATTGGGACTGGACATATGGCTTTGTTCTTTGACCTCTCGAGGTCAAGCACTTTCTGTACTGAAAGAACTGAGGTGTTCCCAGTGTGCTGGCAAAACACTTTGATGGGGGCTGTTGGCAAAAGGGCTCCAGTGGTGGGGGGTCGGGGTGCTACAGGAGAATGCCTTGAAGTAGGGAACCACCAGAGAATACACACCAGTGGGGTGATGGTGTCGGGTGCAGACAAGTGAGTACCAACAGGGCAGCAAGGAGCCACTTGTATGTGTGCAATCGTGGAGCGTCATTGTCAGTCTTACTTCATCTGTACCCCTATCCAATTCCCAATGTCCTAATTATTTTGGTGAAAACATCAAAATCATATCATTTCACCAAAATATTTGTGCATACCTTTAAAAGACAAGCAGTCTTTAAATATATATCTATGGTCATAGTAATATACTACAAGTTAAAAGTAATTCTTTGCTAAGGTAAAAGTGGAACCTCATTTTCAAAGTTGCTATTGTTTTAAACCTTTGAAAATTTAATAACATAGTTGAAACATTTGACATTAGATGATGTCAAGCTGGAACATTTTCAGTTTTTCCTCTTAGTATAGAGACTTTGATGTGTACGTGAAGTAGCCGAAGCCATTTACCCTTGGTCAAAGATTTCCCTCACGATGGTGTGAACGTCCAGATAGCCCAATACCAGTAAAGATCATTTCAAAGTAAGCCTTAGGCTCCATTCTATTCACGTGAAGAATTAACTGTATTGGGAGCACAAGGCTGGTGGATCACCTGAGGTCAGGAATTCGAGACCAGCCTGGTCAACATGGTGAAATCCCGTCTCTACTAAAAATACAAAAAAAAAATTAGCCCAGCGTGGTGGTGGGCACCTGTAACCCCAACTACTCCAGACGCTGAGACAGGAGAACCACTTTAACCCAGGAGGCAGAGGTTATAGTGAGCCGATGTCACGCCATTGCACTTCAGCCTGGGCAACAAGAGTGAAACTCCATCTCAAAAAAAAAACAAAAAACAAAAAAAAAAACGTGTAAAAGATTTCATGAGTAACACATCACAGGAAAGGAATCTTGGCTAAGAAGTTAATTTGTTATAAGTAACTTCAAGTAACAGTTTGTATCCTCACAGGCTCAGCTAGGAGACTCTCAGTTGGAGTCTCATTGTGGTTATAGTCAGGTGTCAGTTGGCTGGAGTCATCTGGAAGTTTAGAGTGCCCGGGTGTCCAAGATGGACTTTTCTCTCATATGTCCCGTATCTCCTGTTGAATGGCTAAAATAACTGGGAATCAGCTAGTGTCTCCCTCTCACCACCCAAACTATATTAGTTTGGGTTTCCTCATAGCTTGATGATCTTGTGGTGGATTTCTGACCTGACAGCAGTGTTTCCCCACAGTGAGTGTACCATGGATGTCAGGGGAAGCTTAAGTTCTTTTGACCTAGCCTCAGAAGTCAGATAGTACTACTTCTACCTCTTTCTATTGGCCTAAAGCTAGCTATAGGCAATCCAAGATTCAAAGAGAGGGGCATGAATATTGAGTGGCAAGATTCACTGGGGGACTTCTTTGGAGGTACCATGGTATTTTATAAATCTAATTATTTTTACATATCCTTACTATCTCCTTCCTGTGCCATTGAAATTTTTGTATTTGATTTTTTTGACAGGTTATCAAGGATCCTCCACCACCACCACCCCCTGCACCAAAAGAGGTGAGTGCCTAAAAAAGTGATATGGCTGGTTTTTTTTTTCCCATATGCAGATACCATCCCGAAATTTGATCAATTTTATCTGTTAGATAACTATGATATCTATGTACTGATGTTTTAATTTATAAAAATCAATGTTTACTTTTCATCTCCTTATGATTTATTTCATGTGCTAGAGGAATGGGACCTTCATACATTGCTAGATATAAACTGGCCATTGGAATCAATAGTACATAAAGATTTCATATATTTTTTATAGCACTCTATCAGTAGTTCTGATGTCACTTATATTACGTACAAAAAGAAGATTCAAGCTGACAGTTGAAAGATCCTATTACTTTCTTCAAAATGCTTGGTGCTTTTATATTATTTTTTTTAGCCAGAATCATATTAGGAACATGAAATAAGAAATGTGCTGGTGTTGTATATTTTCAAAGCTTCTCAACTGCCTGTCTTTTCAATTCAAATTTCATGGAGTCCAAACTTACACATACATTGATGCTTTAATGATTGTTAAAATGCTGTCCTAATTTTAATATTTTATCTTTCTAAGTATGAAGTGATGAATAGATTTGAAACACCAAATGATTCCCATAGTTAAAGAGCAACTTCTAGTTACCTAGGGATGATGTAAAAGATGTTTCTAAAATTTGAGGAGAGGAAGGAGTTCTCATATCCTGCAGAACTCCACTTGAAATCTATGCATGTAAGTGTAAATGCATCCATATGTTCAATAAATAGTTTTTCCGTAGTAATGGCATAATTCAGAAAAATATTTAAGTATGAGTTGGTTCTGACTAAACAGTATTATAAGAAATTAATTAAAACCATTTTAAAAATATATTTCCACAGGAGGAAGAAGAACCTTTGCCTAATAAGAAGTGGCCAACTGTGGATGCTTCGTATTATGGTGGTCGAGGAGTTGGAGGAATTAAAAGAATGGAGGTTAGTATCTTAAAAAAAATAGAAACTTCTAATCTGGAGTATGTATTTCTAGGACTGTTAAGCCATGGAAACTTTTCACAATTCACTTTTATAATATCATCCATTTGTGGCTAACACTGGGTCTTTTCTGGATACATTTTTTTTCTGTGGAATCATCCTAGCCGCTCCAAAACTGGCCAGAAAGAGCTGGTTTCATTAGTCAAAGGATTGCATTGATAAGACCTCTGAATTCTAAGGGACAAAAATAAAGCTAGGGTTTTTCTTATTTTGGAAAAAATTACTGCAAAGAACGTCAGCTGTGAAGAAGCCAGCCACTTCAAGTTGCAACAGTGTTCTTCTTTGTAATGATCCAATAGTTATTTCCTATTTGAGAAGAAAATGTTAAAATATTCAATAGCATGGATCTGACCTTATCACAAATATAGAGAAAGCAAATTTAATACTTGACGTTAGTTGCCACTTATGAACTACTGTAATTGATATTATGTATCATTTATAGAATGCATTGAACTTTCAGACTAGCCCAAAGTGTTGATTAAAATTGAACCTCAATATTATATCTTAAAAATCAAAGTTTTCTTATCACCATGAACTATTTTTTCAAAGTGACATATTATTTAGGTATAAGCAATTATTACCAGCACTGAGCCTTTAACAACAGTATACACAGGCCTGCATCCTATCCGAAGGGGCAATTCAAGGAATTTTTTCATGAACATATTGATTTCATTATTAAATCCTAGCATTCTCTCCTTACTAGTTATAATTTTCCTTTCTGATTAGAATGTGTTTTTATGCATTTTACCAGTGTTGCACATGTTTCTTATTGTCATATCTACTTTGTCCCATTACTGCCAGCAAAAATTGATAAGCTAACGAACAACCCTACAATTATTGCAATTTTTTCCTTTTATACATTACAATATAATTCAGATTCCCAAGGAGAGTTTCCCATTTTCAGAATAAATTTTACTTGTCTTCAAAGAAAGCCCAGACATACTGAACATGATTGTCATTATGAAAGTGTTTATATAGATTATCTGACAGTGATTCTTACTTTTCGGGACCACATTAGATCTGGAAACAATGGACATTTTCCCTGAGAGCTTCTTCTTTATTGTTGAAATATCCTCTGAGACAGATACCTCATTGCCAATTATCTGCCATGGTTAAAGGCAGTTGCTAGACGCTGTTAAGTTGGTCTTTGGAAATGTTATTGCATTGATTTTTGTGTACTAGAAACTGAGAATTCAAAACAAGATAAGAAAATATGGCTAGGCAAGTTCTTGTTGTTTGGCACAGAAGGAACGTTATTTTTCTTTCTTACCTTTGTTGTGTCATTTTAGACGTGGAAGGGTGGGAAGAAAGTACATAGGATGTTCCTATATATATAAAACATACATTTAAAAATAAAACTGTTACAATCAAATATCCAAATATGATCTGTAACAACTTATTTTTAGTTGATTTCACCTCATTCCAAAATGTGTGTGTAAAAAGATCTATATAAGGGGGTAAAAAGGCTTGATAGGATATATTAAAAATGTAAGTAGGTTTCTCTGGATGGGGAATTTTCAATCTGTGATATATTTCCCTATTTTAAATTTATTTGACAGTGAACATGTACTTCTTCATATTCAGAATAGTAAACTTAATACCATTTGGAAATCCACTTATCTAAAATACTGCATGATAATAAAGTAAGGATATTAGTATGTGAGCCTTAATTGAATAAATAATAGTCTTGCTTAAAAAAATTAGGAATAATGTCAGATTTTTGTTAGTTCAATATTCCAGTGTTGCAAAGATTGAGATCTCTTTCTAAAGGAAAGGAAATATATGAGTAAGCCCCTGAATGGGTCCTGAGTTAAAAAGAACATAATTGGTTTATACTTACCAGAGCCAAGAGCACACACACACATCCCTAACTAACCTATAATTCAAGTTTCAAGAGTGATTAACTATTAATATGTGAAATTATGTTCCCACCCATCCTTTTCAGTTGAAGAAAATTTGTGACAAAAACCTCAGCCAACTTGTAATAAATCTGGGTCCATTTAAGTTTTGTATAATTTTGGCTACCTTGTATGAAGTATTCCATCAACAAGATAGAAATGAGAATGAGAATGAAGAAAAAAATGGAAAAGCAAATGTGGATGTTACAAAGGGGAAACATGATATAGGTTGAGTATCTCTTACCTGAAATGATTGGAACTGCAAGTGTTTTAAATTTTGGATTTTCTTCAGATTTCAGAACATTTGCATACACATAATGTGGTATCTTGGGGAGGGGACCCAAGTTTTAACATGAAATTTATTTTTGTTTGATAGACACCTTATACACATAAGAATATGTGTATAAGGTATATGTCAAATATAAATGAATTTAAAATTTACAATAAATACACAAACATAATATACAAGCATAAATAAATTTTATGTTTATATATTACAAACAAAATATACAAACATAAATGAATTTAAAAAAATACAGTATTTTAAAATAATTTTGTGCATGAAGCAAAGTGGTGACTGTGACCCATCAGATGAGGTCAGGTGTGGAGTGTTCCTCTTAGAGTGTTATGTTGACACTCCAAGGGTTTTAGGTTTTAGAGCATTTTGAATTTTAGATTTTTGAACTATCTTCAACCTGTATATAAAAATACACAATAAAAATTGAACTGAGAATTAAGTATCATTAAATGTTTGCAAACATGAATTTATTTAAGTGTGGAGAGGTAAAATAGAAAACATAATGTTTCATTTATTTATTTTTTAAGAAATCTGGGGTGGGGGATGGGGAATTCTCAGTATGCTGTCCTGGCTGGTCTTGAGCCCCTGAGCCCAAGGGATTCTCTGATGCAGCTGGGGCTGCAGACAGGTTCCACTGTACAAACAAAATTTGTTTTAAAAGCATGCTTATTCAAACCTAAAAGGTACTTTTTTTTTTAAGCCCTTAAACTAGGAAAAGTGAAAGGAATTATAGAAATTATGAACACATGTGAATTACAGAACAGATTTTTATAGCTAAGTTTATTTTAAGTCAGTATAGGAATTTTTACCTATAATATTTTGTTCTTCCTTCTTTAAATTAAATATTTAAACACTATGGTAATGGGAATTTGTAGAAAGCTGGAACTGAGATGATGTTAATAACAACTGTTAGCACAATTGATACACAATACCTAGTGACTTCAAATGTGTGTTTCTGCCAATTCAATGTGAAACTGTTTTTGTTTCTTTTCTTGATTCTGGAATTGCTCCTTAATGATATAACCTCCTAGTCATCCAAATACGCTCTGGAAATTATGGAATTTTATTGCTTATAATGAAAGCCAAATGGAGTTGGAAGAATTTAGGTATCAAGCTTGCACTTATTTTTTTCCATAATAAAGCCTGATATGTTAATTCTGCTGAGGCTTCCTTTAGTAGTCATTCTTGTTATTCTTTTGTCCTTTTTAACTGTCTCAATGTGGTCAAACTAAAACATTAAAATGTATACATACATACATGTATGTTTAATATGTGTATGTATATTTAATTGCTTTTAAGAATTTGAAAACTCTAATAATTTCTAGTTTCAGACTTTGAGTAAGTGAGAATTGTTTGTGGTGGTGATGGTGATGATGATTAAATAGCTCTCTCATGAACTAAAACTAAGGAATCTATTTAATGAATCTTCTTTAGATCTCAGCAACTACATTTCTCAGGTATAGTCATTTGACAGTTTAGTCCCTAGAAACACCACATTGGGTCAGCACTCTAGTTTAACTAGCTTTATACATATATTTTAAAATCTGAGAATAGTGCCAGTTGAAACTTGAAAGAAGATATGATTATGATTACCTCTGCAATATCAGTGTGAAATAGGCCAGGGAGCTGCCTATGCTAAAGCCTATCATTTCTGATTGGATCTAAATTGTATCTACTTCTATTTCTGCCTTGAATGACTTCTCTAAGTTATGACATTTGTGTGTTTACTTAACTGTGTACTTTTTTTTTGTTTCTTAAAGTTGAGCCTTTACAATTGCAAGGATATGTGTCCCAGTTTTAGAGTTTTTAATTCAATCTAGCTATATCTAAAGATTTCACAAGTGTTAGTTTATCTAGGTGACAACACTGTGGTTGGAAAGAGAAGGTCATTTCTCTGGAAAGAAAGCAACTATCTAGCTCTAAAGGTTTAATGGTGTTTAAAACAATTTTAACAACCTCATAAAAAACATTCTAGTATCACTGATCACACTGAAAGATATGGATACATTTTAATGACTCAACAGGGCCCACTTGAAATTGAAAGCCCATTCTAAAATTGTAGTAAAAAAAGGTAAAAACATCTAAGTAAGCCTTATCAAAAAGCCTGAATAGCTCTTTCTATGAATAATAATCTTTTCTTTCCCTACCCACTAATATAATCATTAAAATGCTTTAGGAAGTCTTAGGTTCTTTTTTTTTATTCTTCTTTTAAGAAATAACTTAACTCTGGTGTGCCATAGTGTGCCCTGGGTAGGTATTAGTATAGCTTTTTAGAGCTTAACTCCTCTGATCTTGCCCGTCTTTGGTGATGTCCTTGGTTTTCGTAGGACTTCCCACTACTCCTCTTTGGACAAGCCGTTCTCCAGAGGCTGCATCCTATTTACATGCCCAGTTTAATTCAAATTTTGCTCTTAATTTCTATCTATTGAAAAATAAAAGTCACTTGATCTTGCGGTTTTTCAATGTCAAGAGTTTTCAGAGGAGGAAATTTACTATAATTTGTGGAATTCTCTAGTGTTCCTGAATTTTTGTTTTCAAAGCAGTCTTTGCAGGTTTGACTTCCTTAATGAAAAAATCATATGCCAAACAATCATACTCAGATGAGTTGGGAACTAAAGGCTGAACAGTACATTACAGAATAAAACTATAAAAGTAAAGAAAACTCTTATTATAATTATTTTACTTTCAAAAACTAAATGTTCAAATCATACTTTTTGCCTTAATCAAACGTGATGAAAAGTTTGGAAGAAGCAACTCTTTTGTATGAAATACATTTGCATTCAAACCAATTTGAAACTTATTAATCCATTTCAGATTACACATGTTCGGATCCCTGCCCTGTCACTTACTAGCTGTTTGACTTTGAGCACATCACTTAACCTCCTTGTGCCTCATCTGGAAAGAAGAAAATATAGTCTCCATCTCGCTGCATTTTTGTATGGATTAAATGTGAACTGACACATAGTAATCACTCAGTAAATGCTAACTATCATCATTTTCATCTATTTCTCCCAGTGTCATCACTACATATGGGTATGTGTTTAGCTAGCAGGGGAACAAACCAAATTAGAGAACAGAATTACATACTGCCATGCATTTCATATGTAAACCACAAATGGACTCTTTATTTAAAACTATGGAAAAATGGTTGCTTCAAATTTAGTTGGCTCCAGATTTTTACAAAGAGTCTTTTTTTTTTTTTTTTTTTAAGGATCTTAATATTAAATACAGCAAGGAGTGGTGAGAAACCTATTCATCCTCTCCTATTCAGAAACCTATTTCTGAAGAGGAGAAATTAGGAATTAGGATACCTGCTTACCTCCTTTTTCACTCTGAGATGTGAACCAAAGGATCAAAGGCTCTGTAACAGCCTGTTCCTCTAGGGCACTTTGTGTCAGATAACAAGACTTTCCTTTTGTTTTACAGATAACAGTACTTTCCCTTTGTTTTACAGGTTCGTTGGGGTGATAAAGGATCTACTGAGGAAGGTGCAAGGCTAGAGAAAGCCAAAAATGCTGTGGTGAAGATTCCTGAAGAAACAGAAGAACCCATCAGGCCTAGACCACCTCGACCCAAACCCGCGTACCAGCCTCCTCAGACAAAATGGTACACGCCAATCAAGGTAAGTGTCGAAATTTTGTGTAATTTAACTCAGATCTTATGGAGACGTATCTTTTTTAGTTCTACGTCCCCTCAACTACTTGAAAGAGGGCTAAGGTAGATCAAATTGCAGATATTCATCGTACAATTTTTTTTTTAACTACAGCAGTTGAATAGTTGCAGCCAATACCACATGGCTGGCAAAGCCTGTAAGATTTACTATCTAGCTCTTTTATTTTTTATTTTTATTATACTTTAAGTTTTGGGGTACATGTGCAGAACATGCAGGTTTGTTACATAGGTATTTGGGTGTGAACAATGAGAACACATGGACACAGGGAGGGGAATTTCACACACCGGGGCCTGTCGGGGTATAGGGGGTATGGGAGGGATAGCAGGGGGTAGAGGGATAGGAGAGGAATAGCATTAGGAGAAATACTTAATATAGATGATAGGATGATGGATGCAACAAACTGTTGGACACTCTTAACAGCCGAATGCTTTCTTGGCAATGAGAACCTCCAAGTTTCTGTTACTTATTAATTTATTTTATGAAAGAAATGAGGATAGAGAAGATTTTATTTTCTTCATTTTATATGTTCATTTATTCAGTAAATAGAGATTGAGTACATTCTCTGGGAATTCACAAATCTCATTTTCCCTTAGGGTCGTCTTGATGCTCTCTGGGCTTTGTTGAGGCGGCAGTATGACCGGGTTTCTTTGATGCGACCTCAGGAAGGAGATGAGG